CCCCGTCGGGGCGAGCATCAGTTTGGATGGCTACGTCTGCCTGCGTCTGGCAGGAGGGCCCGTCACTACAACATCTCATCCACTTCATTCCTCGTGTGGCCAGCTACATGACCAGTGTGGAGGGGACGCGAACTACATGGGCAGCAGCTGCTGCGTATCAGGGCTGACGTGTGAGTACAAGGACTCCAAGTACTCGCAGTGCGTCATGGATGAAGCCAGCCCAGGGTCCTGCGCGCAGATTTGGCAGCAGTGTGGCGGTGCGGGTTGGACCGGCTCCAGCTGCTGCGTGGAGGGCCTGACCTGCGTTTGGGGCAATGAGCACTACTCCCAGTGCCTGCGCCTTCCCGGCTCACTTATCCAAGCCGACACGAAGGATGTCCGAGTCGGTAAGAAGCGCACCCACCTTCGCAAATCGAGGCGTCCTGCTGCCCTGGAGTCACGGCCCTGGCTGGTCCAACGCCGCACCGCCACCGCCAAGACCAAAGCGACTGAGCCGAAAGTGACTGAGCTGTAAGCGACTGCGCTGTAAGCGAGCTTGGCGCAGAAAGCTTCTTTTGCTGAAAATGGCGAAGGTCAACAGGTACTAATTGTAGCCTCATGAAGTGCTGGTCTTTGCTGACTGTCGAAGAGCAAAACGAGCTTTTGTGCGCGTGATTATGTTCGGTTTTGTGTGCCTTTCACAGCAGAGAGCGCTCTAAACTTTTCTGGGCGCGCTCTTGCTGCTGAATTCAGCGCCAGCTTCAGCGGGATCACGGAACTCTGGCTGGGCTTGCAGAGGGCTGCTGGGCAAAGTAAGGAAAGGAGTAGGTTTTTCTCCCAAGCACTCACCGCCCACTGCCATGCCTAGATGCATAGCTGCATAGCATACCAGATACAGACAGGCTGGTTGATGTTTTCGAAGATCCTTCAGGTGCGAAGCATCTGGGATGATCCCGCAGCGGTCACAAGCTTCTGTCTGCGGGGCTATTCTGGCTGCCGCCTGCTGGTGCATAAAGTCATGGGGCAAGCTCGTGCTCAAAAGAAAAAAGTTACCCTGCAGTGCTGTGGCTAGAGGGCTGGCAGCAAAAAACACAACCGGAGCCATTTTGAAGCCGCTTACAGCTCAGTCAGCAGCTCACCTTGTGCCCAGACCCGCACCTGCCGGGAAGGCCTTCGGCATTGAGCGATGAAGTTCGAGCACGTGCTGGTGATGTCTATGCTTCTCGGAGCTTTTGGGCACGGGGCCCTCACCAAGCCGCTGCCCCGCCTCGTCTCGGGTCAGCAGTACTGTCCCTGGTGCGTGGGCGAGCACCAGCCTGTCACAAACCCTTCTGGCGTTGTCAACCGCGATGCTGAACCGTCGTCACCTTGCCTCGGCTCTCAAATAGGCGATGCTCCGTATCCTTCAAGCAATTACAACAACTACGCTGTTGCTACGGCTCCTGCTGAGCCACACTACACGGCTGGTGGCACGATGGAAGCAACCATTGTGTTGGATGCCGACCACAACGGTGAGGCCATCTTCGATTATTGCCCGCACTCCGAAGCCCAGACGGAAGAGTGCTTCAGGTCCCGGCCTCTCAACGACTGGACAGACGTCCATGCATACTGGGATGCCAGCAACCAGGACGACCACTGGAAGTCCGGTTCCTGGTTCCCTCAGACCGTGAATCTTCCGGCGGACATGCCCTCGGGCCCCGTGACGGTCCGTTGGCTCTGGATATGCAAGTACACGGACGAAATATTCGTGTCTTGCGTGGACGTCGACATCGTGGGCGGGGCGGCCACCACCACGGCGATTGGCACGACCACCACCACGACTGCGAGCCCCGAGTGCATCTGGACCGAGCCCGCAGGGCGCACGCTGGAGCGCACCCCCCGGGAGGAGAAGGATGGCCGAGTTTGCTGGGACGTCACAGTACCCGCAGGAACCAAGGTCTACTACCAGTCCAAGACTGACATCTACCATGCGTGGAATTCAAATTCTTGCTGCCTGAGTGCCGCAGACAGCTTCGGATCCGACGCCACGGGAAGCCCGAACCTGGTCGTGTTCACCCCAACGGCAAATGTAGGCACCTTTGGCTTCTGTGAGTGCACGGCGTGGGATCCCAGTAACCCTGGCGCCTGTGCTGGGGCAGCCACAGCCGACAATATGATTTGCCCTGTCCTGGGTGCCTCGAAAGAGATGTGCTCAGAGGCCGCATCATGGGACGGCCTCCCCGTTGGCTGCACGCCTGTCTTTTCGACCACGCCGTCGGCAACATCAACCACTACCATGGTGTCAACCACATCGCCTACGGACGGCTGCTGCTATTGGGACGCCAACAAGGGTTGTGAAGGGAGCGGGTACTGCTGGGAGTCTAAGGCCAATTGCGAAGGCACCTGCAATGGCAAGTGGCTGGCGAACACCCCACCCACCACCACTCCTGCGACGACGATGGCTCCGACGACCATGGCAACGACTGCGACGACCACTCCCATCTACACGACCACAATCAGCGCGACAACAACTCCCATCTACACCACCACAATCAGTGCGACAACCACAACTGTGCCGGCAACAACCGCCACCTCCTCGGATGGCTTTGAGCCTGTGGATGGAGGTGTGAACCGCGCATGCCGTGGAGATCATGCTGGAGACAATGACGCCTCCTACTTCACGGTCGTGAGCGTGGACTCCTTGGATGAGTGCAAGGCGCGCTGCCTGGCGACCGCGGGATGTCATGGAATTGAGAATATCGGGAAGAGGTGCGAACTGTGGACACACCCCGTCTCGGCGAGCATCAGTTTGGATGGCTACGTCTGCCTGCGTCTGGCAGGAGGGCCCGTCACTACAACATCTCATCCACTTCATTCCTCGTGTGGCCAGCTACATGACCAGTGTGGAGGGGACGCGAACTACATGGGCAGCAGCTGCTGCGTATCAGGGCTGACGTGTGAGTACAAGGACTCCAAGTACTCGCAGTGCGCCATGGATGAAGCCAGCCCAGGGTCCTGCGCGCAGATTTGGCAGCAGTGTGGCGGTGCGGGTTGGACCGGCTCCAGCTGCTGCGTGGAGGGCCTGACCTGCGTTTGGGGCAATGAGCACTACTCCCAGTGCCTGCGCCTTCCCGGCTCACTTATCCAAGCCGACACGAAGGATGTCCGAGTCGGTAAGAAGCGCACCCACCTTCGCAAATCGAGGCGTCCTGCTGCCCTGGAGTCACGGCCCTGGCTGGTCCAACGCCGCACCGCCACCGCCAAGACCAAAGCGACTGAGCCGAAAGTGACTGAGCTGTAAGCGACTGCGCTGTAAGCGTGCTTGGCGCAGAAAGCTTCTTTTGCTGAAAATGGCGAAGGTCAACAGGTACTAATTGTAGCCTCATGAAGTGCTGGTCTTTGCTGACTGTCGAAGAGCAAAACGAGCTTTTGTGCGCGTGATTATGTTCGGTTTTGTGTGCCTTTCACAGCAGAGAGCGCTCTAAACTTTTCTGGGCGCGCTCTTGCTGCTGAATTCAGCGCCAGCTTCAGTTTCTGAGTGGCCCACAACATCCCCCACACCTATGGCAAGTCAAGAGCGTCAGAGCCCCAAACTTTTTTCTTAAGAATGCATCGGAGCGGGATCACGGAACTCTGGCTGGGCTTGCAGAGAGCTGCTGGGCAAAGTAAGGAAAGGAGTAGGTTTTTCTCCCAAGCACTCACCGCCCACTGCCATGCCTAGATGCATAGCTGCATAGCATACCAGATACAGACAGGCTGGTTGATGTTTTCGAAGATCCTTCAGGTGCGAAGCATCTGGGATGACCCCGCAGCGGTCACAAGCTGCTGTCTGCGGGGCTATTCTGGCTGCCGCCTGCTGGTGCATAAAGTCATGGGGCAAGTGCTCAAAAGAAAGAAAATGACCAGTGCGGCGAGTCTGCTTGGTTATGTCAAGCCACACATACGTATATACAAATATTCAGATATACATATATACATATATACATATTATACATATATACATATATACATATATACATATATACATATATACATATATACATATATACATATATACAAGGGAGGCACTCAGCGTCAGGTGCTAAATTGGCTGTCTGCGCGCGCCGGGAAGCAGCGAGGCCCTGAGTACATTGCGGCGCCTTTAGCAGAGGGCATGAAGCAGGATTCATACGATACAAATTTACTATACTGTATCATATTCTATTTGTTTAATGTTTATATATATATATATGTGTATTGTTATATATGTGTATATGTGTATATGTATATATGTATATATGTATATATGTATATATGTATATATGTATATATGTATATATGTATATATGTATATATGTATATATGTATATATGTATTATATGACATATGGTTATCATTTGCCCATCGCTCGCCCTTCCAAACTGTGGGGCTACCCTTCGCTTCAGCAAATTTCCCTAAGGATTGTGGAGCTACGTGACCACCATGGAAACACGGCGAGAATGTATGGCCAGCAGGTCATGCCGAACAGTGAACCCATGTTTGCACGTGGCTTGTGGACTCAATACCTGTGGAGCAGAAGACGCAGACCTGCTGAGCTTCACCAGCAGGCGTTGGCAGCTGCGTCGCTTGCCCCGCATGAGCCCTAGAATCGTTCTTCGGCTTCCCGGGCTTGCAGTTCGAACCCATTGGACTGATGTTTTTTTTTTCTAACGTGTTCCCACGGAAGGAGCACCGAAAGGCCATGTCAGAAAGATTGGTGCATGTTTGCCTTCATGACGCTGCCTGCCACTGCTTTGGCTGGAGGGAGTCGCTGCCAAGCCCAGTCCCAGTGTCCGGTGAAGGCTCTTCAAGACATGTCATCAACTTCCAGCTTAATTATCCTTGCTTGACGGCCACCTTTCAGGTTACGCGCGTGGTCGGTACTACAAGCCATAGCTATACCAACAACTGACACCTATCAGAAGAAGTCTCAGTTGATCTCGACTTCGCTATTAAATAGTGACTTGCGAGTAGTTGGGTCTGCGCCGCGTTTCACTTCCGGAACGGTCAGAAGTACCAGCGGCCAACCTGAAAATGGTTGTGTCATCTTGTGTCTGAGGCCATGTTGCTCTACTACAACAAAAGTAGCTTTTGGCTGCTTCTGCAGTTACATGGCAGTGTCTTCTACCGGTGGGATACACTTCTTGGAAGTATAATCATCGCATTGGTGGGTGGGCTTTGCCAATATCTCAGAGACACGGGCTGGGAATACGCCCCATCAGTTTATCACCACTACGGCTTTCAAGCGTTGGGGGCCGGCGTGACTTTCGCGATCGTGTTCAGGACACAGCTTGCCTGGAATAGGTATTGGGAGGCCGTTACCCAGCTTCACATCATGTACAGCAAGTGGACGGATACCTTCACACAGTTCCAGGCTTTTGCGGAGGTGACACGTCTGGCCGCCGTGAGCAAAGGAGATAGCAAGAAAGCTGAAAGCATCCAGCTGAAGCAGAGGAGGGTGAAGACCAACTTCGCGATTCTCAGCATGGTGGCTGCAGATCGTCTTCACACTGGAGACAACCAGCAGATAGAAGACATGAGGTCCAGGTGGGCCAAAACGCGGGCGGCGATGCGCATATACAAGGAGACGAAGCTCTTTGATCTGCCTCAGATGGTGGAGTGGAAGGATTTTAACCGAAAGGATGCGAATGAAAGCGTGTATGTGATCTTTGAGATGCCTTCCCGCCAGCAGTTGGAGCTCTTGGAGCAGTCCAACGACCCAGTGTCGACAGTGATGTACTGGATCATTTGGGATCTTGCCGATGTGATGAAGCACTTCGACATTGCTCCGCCCATTCAGTCCCGAATGTACCAAGAGCTCTCGAACGGCATGCTCGGATACAACAACTGCCTGAAAATCGCCGACGTACCTTTCCCATTGCCATTTGCGCAGCTGTTAGGCTTGCTTCTGGCCTCTTTTTCAGTTCTCATTCCGGTATACGTCGTGGTGTTCACTGGCTCGCCCATCGCAGGGCCTGTTCTTTGCTTTTTCCTTTATGCTAGCATTTGGTGTCTCAACGAGGTGGCCAAAGAGCTGGAAAACCCTTTCGGCGAAGACATAAATGACATTAGCTTAGTAGACTTCCATACCAACTTTGTGGACGTCTTGGAGAATGTGACCAAGGAGAAGCAGAGGTCCCTACTTCTGAATCCCACCATGGGCTTAGGAAGCCTGGATCCTGACATCGGCGAGGCTGTGGCGACGGCGAGTGATCTCACGACAAGTCACGGCCACGTCGAGGTTCTGCAGGAGGCGCTGTGACGATTCTGCAATGGCAGAAGCCCGTTTCCGTGTTCCTCACAGGCCGTCGGGGAGATGCTCACGTTCAGTTTCACCGCTCGGAGTGCTGCTGCCACATGAACCAACAGCAAAAATAAAGCAACAATGTATTAATACAAGGCGATCATAATTTCATAGTAATGTCATAGTATTACAATATACAAAAATATCACCTATCCCATCACAACGATTATTAACATAAGAGTCCTTTGGGCAGTACTTTGATGTCTGGCGTCATGGAGAAGCTATGAAGCCGGTCCGCACGATGCCGAAGAAAAGTTCCCAGAAACGCTGTTGGTTAGTAGGGAAGGAGGGAATGAGGTACACCCTGTATAATCCCTATAATCCCTCTATATATATATATATATACCCTTTAAGGGAGTATATAGGGTACCTCATGAGGCCTATATCTCCCTATATATACCCTTTAAAGGATTATGTATTCCCCCATTCCCTATTAACCAACAGTAAGAGCAGCGCTTTGCCTTTTTGCGGGGGACGAAGCCACTCCTCGGAGCGTCTTTTCCTCACCTTTGCCTTTCGAGGTCAGCCGGCCCAGCTTTACAGGCCCAGCTGCAGCCTGCAACACGGAAGCATGTAGCAGCCTTATACCACTTCTGTCGGCCCTGAGGCCCTGAGCCCGCCCCACCTTCTGAGAACTCTCGCAGCTTCTGGCTCCCTCTGGTATACGGGGATAGCCCACCATGGCGGGCGCGCAGACCTCCGAGGCGAAAAGGGTTTAAGGGGTTTGGGCACCGTGCGGTGTGCAAAATTGCTAAGCTAACTTTTTGTATGATGTGTATGTTTTCCTGGCAGTCCCACAGGCCAGGACGCAAAAAGGGTCTAGGGTTTGGGTTTAGGGTTGATGCCATACCAGCCTGTGCAAAGGTTGCAGCAGAAGCGCAGCGCAAGTCAGTGGAATTTTATTTCCCAAGTGACCCGATACTGTAGGTGCGTGAGCCGATAAGTGTCCTAGGCATCCCTGATATCCCCAGGTGGATGCGGTGTTGAAGCAGTTCCTGAATGACTTTCCCAGCGTAATTGGCACCTCGGACAGCACGGTGGAATGTATTGAAGGATTCGAGCCCTGCATAGCCCTCAAAGTCATGACATCCTTTGGTAGGGAAACCTTGTATGAAGCGACGATGGCCAGGTAGGGTCTTGCTTATGAGCTCGTGCTTGAAACTGTCCTCGTACAGGCATCGCTGTTAATTTAAACAAGGGTTACCGTTGTTGCGGATGTCCTAATCTAGAAGCTGGCTGACTGGCTTGCTGGAGTAGCAAAATGACATTCGGATACCTTTCAGGCTTCGTCGTGATCAATACCGATGGCATTCCGACGAAGTGGCACGAAAGCATGCCGTACGAAAGGCATCCCTCTGAGTGCTGTCGAAGGGACGACCCTCACTGGCGCATCCGTAGCTGTTGCATATTTACACATATAATCAACTTGCAATCAGAAAATCGTATAATGATATACACATACAAAAATGTAAAACGTAACACTTAAAAATATTCAGTGCGCTTTGAGACTGGCCAGGGCCGTAGTTTATGCCGCGCTGCTGTCCGACTTGCCCTCAGCTGTGCTTGTTGTGCTTGTTGTGTTTGTGTGCGTGTGCGTGTGCGCGGTCATCAAACCAGTTCTGAAACCTCAACAATTTAAAGCACAGGGGGCGACCCCCCGGGCCGGCTGGGGTCAAAGAAGATCCACCTTGTGTCAAGTAGGATATGAGCTCGGGACATAGAAAAGCCAGGTCTTGTGCTGGCAGATTTGAGAGCCCGGGCCATGATCTGGCCAGTAAGGCATCACAGACTTTGCATGAGAAATCATGTCAACCAGAATGCTGTTGTGTGCGTTGTGACTGAGCTGCAAACCACCTGTCACGTTCATGTGTTCTGCTCACACGTCAGTTACGCTGATCTCAGCAAGAACCGTGAAGTTATGTGTGTGTGTGTGTGTGTGTGTCTCTGTCTGTGTGTGTGTGTGTGGATGTGTCTGCCTGTGTCTGTGTGTGTGGGCGTTGCCAAAGCGATGAAGTTGCATTGTGCCTGGTGTAGCACTGTAGAAGCTGCCCAGCGGCTCAATGCACAGAAAAGGACTTTGTCGCCCACTGCAAGAAGAGCCTGCGGGAACTCCTCAGTGGCCCTGCAGAGTCTGAGCTTGCCAATGCGCCTTGCTTTGCTGATCGTGTCAAACAGCAGGTTGAGGGAAGAAAGGGAGAGTTCAGGTCCCTTCAATCGAAAGGTCCCAATGCGGACCACACCTCTTGATGTTGATCCACGCTGTTCAGTGCCTGTCATGTTCTATGGGGCTTGCCGGGTTGCAGGTCAATTCCTCAACCCCAGACACACTCCTGCATCTGCGAAGCCCCATACAGACTACGCCACAGTGAAGAGTCTTCAACCTACCCCTTAAAACCCTACTGGTACCAGTATAGAAAAAGAAAGTGAAAGCTGCAACACCAGGTGCGGATCCGCACCATGGAGGGCACGGAACTTATCTGCGTCACCCAGACGGAGTATATCTTCGTAGTGGTTCAGAACTGCACCCTGGCTTTTGGGCGTTGGGGATGCCTGGACCAGGGCCCAGGGGCTTGAAGCTTACTGCGCAGTTGAAGTTGAAGTTGCACCGTTTTCTTCCGAATCGACTCCGCCAATTTTTGATGGGGCTAGAACCTCTTTAAGCAATGTTTGGCGAGCTGTCTCATGATTCTCTGTGATCGCTATCGATGAATTGTATCCCATACACGCTCACATGTCGCCGGGTATCCAGGTACCGGCAAGGCTATGCAGCAGGACGTCCACACTGTGCCTGAGAAAGGGCTGGGCTCAAGTTTACGGAATTCCCCCAAAAATACCACTGATGGCCCAGACATGTGGCTCAAGATTTGAGTGGCTCCAGGCACAAGCCTTCAGCATCCTTCCGCTATCCGCTATCCTGTTGCCGTAATTGCTGTTCTTGGCTGCAAGCTGCTGTGTGGTCGTGGTGGAAAAGGGTGCAATCACTGTTCGAGCAGGACGAGGAGGGTGCTGCTGCCGGTGCCGGCGAAGGCACAGTTGTTCGCCATTCGGTGGATGGGGATTGAATTAAGGTAAGGGGAAGCTTGTCTTTGCACCGCAGACACTGGTCTTTCTCTTTGCTACAGAGGTTCTCACCTCAGAGCTTCGCGCGCAACTATCCTTCCCTAATCCCTTGAAAGGTGGCGCGTGAACGCAGCTGCTGGGAACAAGGAGGTGGCAGTGGCCTGTCTGCCCTCCATGCCCTCGTTTGCCCTAGGGGCCGTGGGTCTGTGAGGTCTTCCGGTAGATCAGCCCATGGCACAAACAAGATCTCGACCTGCAACGCGTCAAGGGATCGAGACTTCGGCATTGCACCGTGCCTGTAGAGCTAAGGTGCCTCAGGCATTGCACCGGCACGACACCGGCGTGAGGCGTAGGCTTAGGCAAATATCTAGGGCGCCTGGGCGCGGTCTTCCAACAGTTGGACCTGGCGGTTGTTTTACAAAAACAAGTGGCCGATAGTCCTTGAGATGGGTTCATGTCGAGGGTGCAAGCCGATGGTCTGGCCCTCATGATGCCGGGTTCCCTTCAAGGCCAGGAGAGAGGCGACGTGGTTTTCGTCGTTCAGCCCGGCTGTTTCACCGGATGCCTCTCCGGGTTCCTCTTCCGTTTCACCACACGTCTTAGCCTTCCTGCAAGATCGCCAAGCTGCTAGTGGCCATCTCTGCAGGATGCACAGAAGGCGTAAGGCAAAGAGAGCGAGGCCTTAAGAGCAACTGATGTTGAAAGCCTGGCCTGTCGCTGGACTGTGCATGGCTGTGAAGGCTGACCTCGCCGACAAGCCAGCCTTAAAGGCCAGTGGTTGCAGGAGCTGCAATGTGCACAGCTGATTTTGCGTGGCGCTGGCCTTTAGAGAGAGAGGAATGGTTAGTCTCGTGGGCCCCAAAGCACTTCCTCTCCTGCGCTGCAAACCCTAAACCCTAAACACTAATCTCCCTACACGGTTTGAACGCGTAGCCTCCGTAGCCTGGCACAGGCTACGGCCACTCAAGCAGCGTGCTTGCCTCAAATATGCTGCCTTGTTTCAGACCTCCAAATTGGGATGTTCCCTTTTCCTAACAGTCTTTTAGTAGGGGTACTATAATCCCCACTAAGGACTGTTAGAAAAAGGGGGGGGGGAACATCCCAGCCTCCAAACTTCTTCACTTCGTGGTCTTCCCTGACACCCAAGGACCGCTGCCATGCCGCGGGCTGGAACCTCAAGGGGTAGATCCTGCAAGTACAGTAGGATGCGCAAGGGGCTACCTTCCACCTGGGATCGACTCCTTAAAGCGCCCCTTTCTGAGCGGTCTGTTCCTTCTTCCGATGCCTCATGTCCATCGCCAGATGCCTGCTGCTTTGCCTTCCACCTCGTCTTTGGTGGGTCAGGACCACTCTTCAGCTGTATTCTTACCTTAAACCCTAAACTCTAAACCCTAACGCAAAAAAAACATAAACCCTAAACCCTAAACCCTCAACCCAGAGCAGAGGGGAGCCCATGAAGCCGAAACCCAGATCCTGTCAGGAGGCCGCTGCGACCCAGGCTGGCGACCAGAATCGAGCCACATAATTAAGTCGTGCAGCACCGGCCACGAGAACCAGTTAGGCTACTGCCATGACTAATGACAAGGTGACTAAATGGAGCGCTTTAGATCTTAGGTGCGAACTGGGCGGAATGATGAGATCTGCAGGTTTTGTAGGCCTAAAGCCATTGGGCCCTGTTTAGGCAGGTCGGATGGCTTCGGGAAGCACGGTGTGGGGTTTAGGGTTGAGGGCTTAGGGTTTAGGCTTTGATTCTCAAAGAGTTTTATTTTGTGTTTAAGGGCGGGTGTCCGGCTTCAGGGTGCTTGTTGGGATGTTCCCTCTTCTACCAACAGCTCCTTAATAGAGATCATAATAGGGGGTTATGATACTCCCTATTAAGGACCCTCAATAGAGATCATAATCGGGGGGCACTAGATTCCCTATTAAGGACTGTTAGTATAAGGGGAACCTCCCAAGGTGCCTTTAAAGGGCCGGAGATGAAAGGGATCAAGCAGCATGTGAACGGAGATGAAAGTCTTCGGTGTACCGGTAAGAGAGACAGCCAGAGAGCCCTTTTCAGGCTACCATGCCGGGCGCTCAAGAGTGAGACCCTTGGAACTGGCACACGCTCCGTTCTCTAAACTACAAGGTCCCATATTTAGGCCTAGATCGACGGGGTGGTGCAATCAAGGACTCAAAAAAGGGGCCGTCATTTCGAGAATTAGAGAGCTCATTCAGGGCTGGGAAGTTGATGACAGGACTTCTGCGAAGCCTTTTTGTTTTCAATCAGTTTCATTGGGGGGGGAGGGGGTTGTAGGGCACCACATCTTCACCTGATCTTGATGCTCCACTTTGCACTTTCGGTCAAGTTCATGCTCTGGACTTGAACCCTAAAAACTAGTTCCTATACTACTTGGAGGTTCAGGGCACTTATAAACTAGCTATAGCTGTACTTTAGCTCCCCAAGTCCCCTCAGTCCCCTAAGTAGGTTATACCATATACGTCCTGAACCGCAACTTCCCGGCAATCCGGCTCAGGTTCAACCTCTTCCAGGACCTAGCGAAGACCCCCTGCGCACGTGACATGTGGTTTTGAAAGTGGAAGGTTTAGGGTTTAGGGTTTCCCAGCAAGCTTGTCTCAGTCTGGGTTCAAAAGGGTTCAAGTGTGGAGGCATAGGAACATGGGCATCGCAGTTGTTATTGGAGCTGGCACTTGGGGGTTACTTGTTGGACCTGACACCGTGCCACATGGTGATGCCTCAGGAGCCAGAGGAATTCTCCATTGCAACAGGCCGGGGACCTAGCAAAGCAGCTGTGGATCTAGCTAGGATGTTATCAGGCCATTATGTAGAATCTATATTATATATCATAGAAAATGTTTCTATATAAAATATACAATATGATAAACAGACTACAGTATGTCATACATTTTATTTTGCATAGTAGATCTTATTTTTCCCGAAAGGGCTATCATACCCTATATTGTAGGGGTTAGGGCCTTTATGGGGTTGATTTTACCCGTTATAAGGCCTATTGGCCCATCCTCACTACACGCGTTATCTGCAACACCTGAATGTCGTTGTATGTCGGTGCTGATTGCAGGTGTAAATACAACTCCTCGGGCCAGGCAAGCGATGGTTGAGATTGTTCTTTGCGCACTGTCTTGCTGTTGATTCTGCCGACTCCTTTGGGGCGTTGCTGCGAGCGTGCGCGGGATTTGAAAAACGAAGGTGCCCAGATGATGACATCGGTGCCATTCTCAGTCTGCAGGCGGCGCGTGAGGCCAAGGACCCGCAGAATTCAACCTTGAAGCTGCGCCCCTAGGCTCGGCCGTTGGCCCGCGCAGTGGAGAGGAGCTGTGTGCGGCCGGGGCCTCTCCTACTCTGGACCTAGGATAGGCCAGGATTGAGTGCATCACAGGGCAGAAGGTGTGTGGGCAACCGTTGGGAGAACGGTTTAACCGAATGAGCTCAAGCTGCGGAGCGCGGATCCTCTTAGCCTGCTGAACAAAATCCCAAGTTGCTGAAAGTGCAAGCGTTCTCAATGCCACGAACAGGCCATGACATATTCCTCCTCTTTTTCTTTTCATGCACCAAGCAGTGTGGGGCAACATGGTTTATGGAAGTTGGATCTCCGCATCTCCTGCATAAATGGCTCCAGGTCCTTCGGGATCATTGGTAGTAGGTTCGTGCTCCCATCAACCCGACCCTTGAACCTGCACCCGATGTGTGGACCATCGGACAGTTTAATCTAAGAAGGTCCACGTTCCAGGCTTTGCGGCATCCACCAACCCTCCCTCAGATGGCCAAAGCCACCTTAGTGACCTTAGTGCAAGGTAAGTAGCATGACATCTGGCCACCCTGACGGCGGTCCATGTGGCGGCTTGAACGACGATGCTGGTGTGCATGTCGGCTTGAGTGATGATGATTCCAGTGGAGAGGAGGCGAAAATCCGGAGAACGGAGGAGATGATGACGGAGGTCCTTGCCACCATGAGGCCAGTCCAGCCCGGCATTATCCGCGCTGTACATGCGGGGCGTGCTCTTTGGTGCTGCGGCCGTGCTTTCCGCCAAAAGCCTCCGCGATCCTTCCACGCAAGCTTTCCGACCAGCCAGATACTGTACCCCCCTTGGGAATTCTTTTTTTTTAACATAAAACCCAAGAGGGTATGAAACATATTATTCTTATTAGGATCCTAGGGAAGTAGAGGATCGATGAGTTTTGGAGCCACAGCTGGCATGGCAACAGGCAGATCAAGATCATGACAGCTTTGTTCTTGAGCAATGGAAGAATTGCGCCGCTGGTTGCCACGGCACTGGCGCTGATGGCCAACGTGCTGTTCATAGCCGGCATACTGCCCTGGCTGCAGTACACTTTGGCATCTTGTTGGGGCAGGTCTGTGGGGTTCGTGGTCTTTTGCGCCTGTCTCTTGTGCTGGCAGCCCCGGAAGACGATTTTCATGGATGTCCTGTGCATCAACCAGTATGATGCGAAGCAGAAGGGGATGGCGCTGTTCAGCATGCCGGCCTTTCTCAAGGCCTCGGAGTCTCTGCTTGTGCTGTGGGATCCGTCCTATACTCGGCGTCTTTGGTGCTGCTTCGAGATTGCGGCATTTCTGCACAGCCGGGATAGCGGCCAGAAAGCACGTGTAACCGTCAGGCCTACGCTGCTAGGCCCTGTCTTCATCTCGCTACCCATTGGCTTGACCTTCGTTGTACTCAGTATGGGATTTGCCCCAGTCACTAGCGATCGCAAAAACCACAACCACGCAGTGATGTGGCCGATGATGGCACTGTTCACATCTGTTGGGTTTTATTGGAGCGTGGCCAAATTGCGCGAGTTCTTCCGGTCTGTGGATTCGCTTCATCATGAACTGCAGCAGTTCCGATGCAACGACTGTCTGTGTCATTGCTGTTCGGCTGGCCATCGAAGTCCAGGTGGCTTCAGGATGGCGTGTGATCGCCGAGTCCTGCTTTCGTGCATAACCCTCTGGTTTGGGAGTGTGGAGAACTTCGAGAGTCTTGTACGGTCCGAAGTCTTGTCCTGCCTGACCGAGCAGCTTACGTCGCATGTTCTGACATACAAGCAATTTGCTGTCATGGCTCTGCCCGTTCTCTGGCACTACCTGGACACTGCTTCCGAACCTCTGGAATACATACTCCACCCACGACCCCACAAAGTGTGGGTGCTTTATGAGCTCTTACTTTCTTCTCAGGAAGTCATCCGAGGAATTGGCTGGGCATTCTGCAGTTTGCCCATCTTGTTCTTTGTGACCTCCAAGCTCACATGTTGGTTGCGGAACAGAGCCGGGCGGTCCGAACGTATGAAAATGTGCAGCGACATATTGATCAACTGCTCGATCCTTCTCATTGTGATCGCGATCTTCATGGCGCTCTTGGCATTGGAGCAGGTGTGCTTCAACCTTGACTCTGATCGGTATCGCACTCTCCTAGCTCTGACCGTCTACTTCGCACTTCAGTTTCTTTTTGGCCTGCTGCTTTTCAAGTGCATTCCTGTCAAGATGGGCCTTCAGCCAGTAGAAACATCATTGCCCATTCCGACGGCCCCCGGCATTGCTCATGCGATCTGTAGTCCTGATGCGGTGACCTCCGATGTGGATGCATCCAGCCCGCCCAGACCGCCTGCACTGAGCGCCCGGCGGGGCAACATGTTGAGTCTCTAGCTGCGCAAAGGTCGTGAGCATCCCAAGGTAGATCTCAACCATAGCACGAGGACCCTCCCTCCCCCCTCCTAAAAAAGAACAAAAGAAAAAGAGCACATCAGCGTCTCGAAACCCCCAAACATCTTGATCTGGAACGCGCGCAGTCGTCATGCTCAAGTGTGCGCTTGTGCGTTTCACAAGCGGTACCTGTAAAACACAGCAGGGGAATCACGTGTGTATATATATATATACATATATAGAGCCTCTGCATGAAGGGATGAACGTATGCACAGGTTGGTTGAACACGCGATTCAGGAAACTGCGACTCAGGTTTCCGCGCGATTTAGGAAACCATGAATGAGGAAACTATTTGTTTATGGTCTGTAGTTGGTTTACACTGCTTAACATGGGCGGTGGGGCCTTGCTCGAAGAGCACTGCCTATCGGGCTACGTCTAAAAACAAGCGCTTCCGATGATGATTGCTTGATGTTTCTTACTTGTATGTACAGTATACGGCCTAGCTCCCCTGTCCTCGTAGGGGGGTTTATGAGGGATCCCAACCTGCAAAAGTGTTCATTGGTCTGTACTGCTAGTTTATTATTGGCAAGGCTAAGGAGAAAGTTGGTAAACATTTGGCGCCCACTTCCCACATTAGGTCTAGGAAGCTTGGGAATCGAAGGGGACCGTTGGCTGCTATCATGGGCACCAGGATGATGTTTCCGTTTTCCTAAACATGCCCCTTCTTGATATACCCAAAAAGTGATCTGAATTTAGAAGACGTCCAAGTCGAATAATCACCCTAAACCCTAAACCCTAAACCCTAAACCCTAAACCCTAAACCCTAAACCCTAAACCCTAAACCTCTGATTAGCTATGCGGGAGCGAAAAAACCTCTGATTCTGTGCCTGAAGGCTCCAGAATGGAAAACCCTTCTTCTTGCGTGGAATATGAAGAACTCACTCAACGTTCCTGCAGAAATTTCAGTGGCCAAGCAAGAGCCAAAAATCAAACAGCATAGTATTGTATTGTTCGTTTGTTGATAGAATGACCTGGACGTCGATTCGTCCATCCTCAAGGAATACGCCACCTGCGCACGTTCCTTTTCCAAGACGAAATCAGGTGGACTGCAGATAGGTTTTTGAGAGACCGGAAACAAATATTGACATGTTGTTGGCAGCTGGCCCCAGGATGAACTAAACATAGAAATCAAAGCTTACAGCATGGCCTCGTGTGTGTGTTGATAACATGACCCGGCAATTTGCTGAGCATTTTGGCCAAAACTTTTTTTCATAAAAATCACACAAACAATATCGTGACGCAGGACGGTCCGTACTACAACATGCTTCCACCCAAATATGATTTTACGCCCAAGGCCGAAGGCAAGGAAGGAATCCAAGGTTCGACCACGACTCGCGTCTGCCGCCTTGAACTGTAGGGTTTAGGGTTTAGGGCTTAGGGTCTATGACTCCCGCAGTCCAGATGCCAAAAAATGGCTTAGGGCTTGAGGGTTTTTGGGTTTTCGGGTACTAGGGCGTCAGTGTGTTCGGGTTTTAGGGCTTTAGGTTTTTAGGGTTTAGGGTTTGAAGCCCCACTTGAAACCCTAAACCCTAAACCCTAGACTCTAAACCCTAAACCCTAAACCCTAAACCCTAAATAGCTTGGGGGTGACGCATTTAAGCCCCCACAATCCCGTACATCTCTGAGGCAGCCGCCCTGGAAGCAGCCGCCCAGGTGGCCTCAGCTGCGGCCCCTCTGCCACGAAGCTTATAAGACTTAAGAATTGTTAGGGTTTAGGGTTTAGGGTTTAGGGTTTAGGGTTTAGGGTTTAGGGTTTAGGGTTTAGGGTTTAGGGTTTAGGGTTTAGGGTTTAGGGTTCAGGGTTCAGGGTTCAGGGTTTAGGGTTTAGGGTTTAGTTTTTAGGGTTTAGGGTTTAGGGTTTAGGGTTTAGGGTTTGAGAGTCCTTGTCTGAATACATGGTCGGGTACCCCTTGTCTGTTAAGACCCCAATTTAAATGCTTGCAGCCTTGTAGCCAACTCGACGAACATAGGGGTACCCGAATTTTGGGGTTCCTTCAAGAGGAGTATGTTGGGGTATATATACCGGGGTATTTTTATTTTTGGGAATCGCCCTTCCATCCGAATTCAATTCCTAAACCCTAAACCCTAAACCCTAAACCCTAAACCCTAAACCCTAAACCCTAAACCCTAAACCTCAAAGGCACCAGCCCCAGACTTGGAGTCTAGGTGGCTGCAGCAGCGGCCACGACATGGGGGGACCGCTTGCCTCCGCCCAGCACTCAGAAGTGAAGCGTTTCATGACGGATCATCGTTGCTTCAGGTTTTGCGGTTTAGGCTTTAGGGTTCAGGGATGTTCAGGGTTTATAGGGTTTAGGGTTTAGGGTTAAGGTTGAAGTCTCATTCAAGCTTCATTCGGCCTTCGGTTTAAAAATCATGACAGGGGTTTGGTTTAAAACATATGCAACAAGCCGGAGGTGAACCCCCCAAGCGATATTTCAGATGTCAGGTCCAACAGATTCCAGTCGCAAGCGCACGATAACGACGCTCACGCGGAAGCCGATGGAAAAAAGGGTTTAGGGTTTAGGGTTTAGGGTATTCCTGCTGCAAGTTGAAAGTTTCTGGTATGCTGTTTGGTGTGATCGGGAAGAAGGCGCCATGACTCTGCCACTGTCGTGCTCTCCGGTGCAGGATGTTGACTGCGCTGTTCAGGAAGTTTTTCTCCGAAGGAGAATGCTGCAGCTTCACCCTGTGATGCTCCAACTGCTGATGTTGGACTCTGATGTGCAGGTAGTGCTGCCTCAGATCTTGCCTGCCGCTCTGAGTTTCTATGATTCCTGTAGAGTAGTCTTGGAGGTGGAAGCCTTTCCTGATGATTGGCTGCCACGAATCATGCGTTTTGCGTTTGGGACCTTTCGATGACATTTCTTCAGTCATGTTGAGTTCTGTTGATCTGGCGTCTTAAAAAAAGGGGTTTAGGGTAAAAAAGGCTTCGGGTCGGCAGTGCTGGGGACCTCGGACTTCTGGGACGCTCGGGTTTCGCGGCCTTGGGTTCCCTGGTCTCTGACAGTTCATGGAGCCGAAACAAGAAACCCGAAAGAGTAGGCAGGTGAACCCTAAACCCTAAACCCTAAACCCTAAACCCTAAACCCTAAACCCTAAACCCAGGTGGCAAAAAAGCCTATCCCCTAGACCATCTGTTTGCTCGGCATGCTCCAGGCCCCTTTTTGTTTTGGCTTGGTTTCCTCGGACCAGTTTCCTCACCTGCATTTGTCAATGTGAGAGTCGAAACCCTAAAAGCTCTAAACCCCAAACCTCGAAGCCTAAACCCTAAACTCTGGCCAGGGTTTCTTTCTCATTGAGACCCCCTCTCTCAAGCATAAGGAGAGGAGAGGGGGACTTCTATCGTCAATTTTACGACGCAGTAACGTGTATTGTTCCCAGCAGTGCGTCTCTCTGAGTCGCTAGGCGGGTGACAAAAAATCCTTAAACCCAAAACCCGATAAGCCCTAAACCCCAAGCCCTAAGCCCATCACCACCCCCTTAACCTAAAACACCGCGGGGGTGGTGACCTTTCTGCTGGAGGCCGCGGTGTTTTTCGGAGGGTTGGGCCCATTCCACGGCCAGGAGACACAGAAAAAACACCATGGGGGGGCGAACCCGGGTTACCACCCCCGCGGTGTTTTTCTATAAGGCTTTCCGAGATCCCGTGAGTTTCTTCTTAAAGCTTGACCCCTTACGTGGAGTGCCTACCCACAGAGACCTGGAGAATCCCTAAGTGCCCCCCGGAGAAGCTGGATTCTGTGCGGGCGGGTACTCCGCAAAAATTCGCTTCTCTCGTGAGCGCTCCAGGGTTGCTTGTGGGTTTCTCGACAGGATTGACTCCAGGGGTACCCTGCGGAATTCTCTGCAAGATTTTTTGGGGTAGTCACTCTTGTGGGATTTGTTGTAGGACTCGCTGTGCGGGCGGGATTCTCTGCTCTGCTTGCTTTTTTGGGTGAGGGCGCTCCAGGCATACTCTGCAGGATTCGGCGGGCATTCCACTAAAATTCTCGGGAAGGCACTCCAGGGATCGCCGAGGTATGTAAAACAATCCCGTACAGCGGTTGGGAAACAGAGAACAACATTCGGTACACCTGTCACCAATCTAGGGACTTACTTTACTTCAGGGTTTGTGAAAGCCCAAAATGGTCAAAAATCACAAACATTTAGCATTTTGGTGGTTTCCAAGGCCGCCAAACTATCGAAAAACCTTATGTTTTTGCCTTAATTCAGGGCTTGTGAGATTCAAAATGGTCAAAATCCCTGAAATTGGCTTCGGCATTTCCAAGGCCGCCAAGTGAGGGAAAATCCCTGTGCTTTGGCCTGAATTAATTCAAGGTTTGTGAAGCCCAAAATGGTCAAAAATCACAAAAATTTGCCATTTTGGTGGTTTCCAAGGCAAAACTAGGGACCATCCCTGTGTTTTGGCCTTAATTCAAGGTTTGTGAAGGCCCAAATAGTCAAAAATCACAAAATTTTGCCATTTTGATGGTTTGCAAGGTCTTGGCCTCTGGAAGAAGAGGAAAACTTATAGAAACATTACAATAACCAAGCCCTAAGCCCTAAGCCTAAACCTGACAAATCCCAGACCTTAACCCTAAACCCAAAACGAAAACCTTAGACAGTAACCCTAAACCCTCAACCTGCCAAACGCCCCAAACCCAAATCTGAAACCGTAAAACCTTTGCCTTAAAACCAAAAACGAATCTAGCCTCTTTTCAGGGAGTGGATCTACATTTTTTAGGTCCAAACTTGGGCTCCAACTCAGGTACCGAGCGCCCGGCAAAACTTAATCTTGCGTTTTGTAGGGACTTGTAGACCCAAAAGGTTTATTAAAGTTTACCCTACTGGACTGCTCAGCCAAAACGGGGGCATGCTGGGCCCCCTTGGGGTCTGGACAAAAGTCTTTTGGAGGTTTTTAAGTATAGGGTTTAGGGTTGACTGCTCATTTAAGCTTTCGGGCT